TCTTTCCCTGCAAGTCTGCCTCTGAAACAGTCCAAAACATCCAAAATATTTCTGAAATATCTGAAACATTTCCAAAACAGTTTGGATGGATCTGTTTCATTTCACAGTTGTTTCAGAACCTTGCGTTTCATTTTGGATTCAGTGTTTCAGCTGCTGAAACATCCAAATTCGAAATGAAATGGCCACCAAATTTTTGCACAGCCCTATTATGTAGTAATTCATGATTGCAGAAGTTAGCCTGTTTTTTGATGGTCCCCCACAAGCAATGTTTTGAATTGCAGTTAAGAACAGAAAGGAAGTAATCAACACTCTTGAAAAAAACAAGCCAGGTTTTTTAAATATTTAAATATGGACCTAGGACTATGAAACTTAATTTTAGACATCAGTTTTGAAAAATTGTGTTCAGGTATCTTTCTTTCATATGTCATTTGGAAATGATAAAGCAGTTCAGCTGGTAAAGTAGGAAGAGATTACACATTTAACAGGTGAACATGGAATATGTTGTATAATGTAAAATTAAGCCATTCAACCACTTTGTGAGTTATATCATTTTTCATGATAGCTGGAGTAATATGGAAGGTTACTCATCTAGTTCCTTTTGAAAATGTCTTCCATTTGGAAGTTTTCTCTTTGAGATGCATACTTTCAAAACCAGGCAAAGATGAGCAGAAAAGTCAGTTTCATAGTAGTTAGGGGTCAGAAGGGACCTGAATAGATCATCTAGTCTAACCCCCCACCACTGGTTGGAGCACACGCTGGGATCACATGACCCCAGACAGATGTTCATCCAACCTCTTTTTGAATGTACCCAAGGTAGGAGCGAGGACCACCTCCCTAGGAAGTTGGTTACAGATCCTAGCTACCCTGACAGTGAAATAGTGCCTCCTAATCTCTAATCTGAACCTATTCTTTAGCAGCTTCTGGCCATTGTTCCTCGTCACCCCAGGTGCTGCTGGGGAGAATAGGGCTCTTCCTATTTGCTGCTGATCTCCCTTAACGAGTTTGTAGTTATATTACAAAATTTTCAAATTGGTTTAGTGAAGACAAGTTGGTAGGCATTTTCAAAACCATGACTAAAAATGATCCTGAAACATTTGCAAATCAATTACATTATACAAATGAATGCATACAATGTCTTCTGGCAAGTGCTTTTTTACAAGGGCTTTGTAGAAAGGATTATTATTTTTAAGGGCTAATTCTTTTGGCAGAAGTACAGGAAAATTGTTTAATAGGGCTTGAATGATACAAAATTGGCAAAGTACTTATTTTAGTAGTCATGAAGCCAGGATGCAGGGAAGTTATGTTGTGCTGAAAGGTTATGCAATAATTAGAATTATGTCTAATGCCACGACATTTAGAATAAACCTAATTGAAGTATGTGAGATATCAGTTTCTGATCAAAGTTGATTTTTTTAAAATTACATTAACTATAAAATTTTAATTCTACAAAGTAGACACAAATATCCAATGGATTCCTGGTAAAAATATGCTAGTTGAGTTTGTGGACAGAGCAGATACTTGTACATTTACAGTTTTCCCTTTATGTCATAGTTTGAAAACGTGGCTATAGAAGTGTATTTTGTGTTGTGTTCAAGCTAGGCTACTAAAGGGGGTTATTTTACAATGGCCAACATTTAAAACAGGTGGTTAGCTGTGTTTGTCTTCTGACTGACTTCAGGCTGACTAGATAGGCAACTTTATAGACTAAGATTATATATAAAGAGAACATCTTACAGGTGCTGATCTAGTCCCTGCTTTCCAGCAAATTTGTAGGCCAGGATATTAATAAACCTAACCATGAAATGGTTCCTTTTAGCTTAGTGGTTGAAATCTTCGTGAATATTTATCCTGTTTGTTTTCATTTTTAGGTTTTATAAGTGTGTGTGTGTGTGTGTGTGTGTGTGTGTGTGTGTAACTGATTATGTTAGATATTGTAAGCAGTTAGCTTAGCTTTATTAGAGGGCATTGTATTTTAGAGAAGCTGGGAACAAAACATAAAGGCTTCCCTAATTTTAGGCTGAATCTAACTTCAATATCAGGATAGGTTTTAAAATCTATAATAAGTGATTAAATGGCCAGCTATTTGGAAGAGAATAGGAAATTAGATAATTTCCAATGTATATGTCAAAGGAAAGGGCTTGTTAGATAATCTGATGGCATTGTCTGAGAGTGACAAACATTTTTTTCTGGGAAAGAGGGGGAATGTGATGTAGGATTTCAGTAGAGCATTTGTTAAAATGTCACTCAGGACATTAGTCTGAAAGGTCAAAAGTATAGGTATTAATGTGTGATCGAAAGCTGGAGGGGAAGAGTGTAGATATAATTGATGTTATCAAGTTAGGCTCTAAAAAACAGTGCTGGCCATAATTGAAATGGAAAAGTTTTATACACAAATCATTTTGAAAGTCTAACCCTTGTGCCTAGCTATTTATTTAAAATAAATAAAGTAGTAACTTTATAGAAACAACTTGTACTGAGAACAAAGGAAAGGTGTCATGGAATTCAGTCTCAAATTCAAAGTCATTCACTTTGGCAGCACTATAGTAATAACAGGAAAGAGTAGAAATGAAGAAAATAAAATGATATTGGTAAAAATGTTACACTGTTAGAATAAGATCTTAGTTTGTGTCAGCTATAAAAAAGTAGTCGGAGGGATTTATTAAATTCAAAGGAGATTCTGTTATATTTTATCATTAAGACTTATTTGACATATTGTAGATTCTGTTAGTCACCTAAGCAGCAGAAAAGAAAAAGCCAGAAGAGCAACATCTATAAGTCTTAATTTGAAAAAGAAATGAAATTTCTACTACATAGCCATAAGGGCCTGCATATATTTAAGCATGGAAAAGATGCTTATAAGATGACTTATGTTCACAACTGAGAGGGACACAGCTGAGAGTCAGACTGTTATTTGGCATTGGTGATGGGGGGTGGGGGAGGATGTAGGAGGACAGCTTATTGAAAAATCTTCTTTCCTTATGTCAGGTACAATCTTTGTCCTTACAGAACCCCAGAAATATTTTGTTCTAGTTGCTCATCCTCTCAGTTGGTGTGGGGTGGACTGAATGATATGTGCCCCCCCCCCCCCCCCCCCCCATTAAAGCATCTCTAAGTGCATCCTGAAAAAAACACTTGAAAAGAAGAAAAGACCATATAAGCAAACCCAAGGTCCTTCTTATTTAGATTTACATCATCTTCTCTCACAAAGGCGGTCACATTGCTGCATAGTATTTATTACTCATATTTGTTCTAGTCTTAAAATCTGGCTCTGATTACAGAAGCACTGTTAATGAGTGCACTGAACACTTTCATGCTGAGAATGTAATAATTTGTTGTCAAAACAGAGTGCATTCATCCACATCTAGTTGAAATAATGTTAAAACATTTAATTTAATTTATTGAAGTCAACTGATGTTTAAGCTGAATGCATAGACTTTTTTCTCTTTTTTTGTTCATTTTGTTTTCATCTGGGGTGGATTGACCTGAAATCTGGTTATACCAATTACATCAAAGTTTACTTAATTTTAAGTGTTCAAGATACTACTCTTCATTGTAGAGAAGGAAAGAAAATTGTTTTCATGTTACTTCACATACACTAATTCTGCCACCATAGTAACAGGTAGAAATGCAAAGAAATTGAGCTGTGTTATCTGTAGGTATTAACTTAATCAGTGGGACTGAATTTCACTAGGAAAAATGTAGTATTGTGTAAGATTAAGGAATCTTCAAAGTGCAGAGTGAGTCACTTTATTATTAGAGGCTATTATAAAAATGGAGACGGTATAGCAAAGGGCAGGCAGACTAATGGAATGATCTGGGTTATTTAAAAAGGTTAAAGCAATACAATAGATTCCTTTTTTTAGGAAGAGAGATTATAAATGCTACAAGGTAATTTTAAAATGAGTTTCAAGTACAAGGGTAAGGGGGTATTTAAATATACATAAAAGTAGGGCAGGAAACTAATGAGTTTTATACAGGAGTTCTTTGCAATTTGGGCCCAGTCCTGTATCTGTTAAAATCAATGGCAAAAGACAGTGATTTCAAAGTCATTTTTGGCTCAACAAGTCTTTATACAAGAAGACAACAGTGACAGTGACAGCAATATAAGCTAATACTTCAGTTATAGGGTGAAACAGTTGTATTTAGAATGATATGTTTTTTCTACACCAGGGATGCTCAACTCCTGGCCCTGACCCCATATGTGGCCCAAGGAGCCAGGTTGCCAGGCCCAGGGTGTGGAAATTTGATAGTGGAGGAGCAGTTGCAATATTAATTAATGCATCCGTGCTGGCAAATTTTCCTGGGGGGAGGAGCCCCCATGGGCTGGATAACATGTCTGTGCATGCTAGAGCTGGCTGGCACAGAGCTGGATTGGGTGATGCTCTAGTTGGAGTAGGGGTCAGTGAGTTCAGATTGGGAAGTGCAGGGTTAGATCCAGCATGGGTCCAGGTTGGTGCAGCACATTGCTAGATCAGTTGGCACAGGACTGGATCAGGGTGGCATGGGTCAGAAATATAGAAGCATTCTGCTGGATTGGGCAGCATGTGGCTGGATCTAGCAGAACAAGGCCGGATTGGACCATTCATGGATGGCCAGATCACAAAGCGCAAGCCCAGAGCAGGGAAGTTTTGGTTCCTTTCAGGGCAGCGTGTAGGCAGGAGTCCATATTGAGGCAGTGCAGGTCTGGATCAGGGTGTGTGGGATTTGGCTCATGGACCAACCCCATGTAACATTTCTCACCTGTGGAAGCAAAAGTTTGGGCACCAGTATTTTATACTGTAACACAGGTTTACATGCATCTTGACTTTATTTTTAAAAAAATGGAAATGCATCAGTGGCATTCTGACAACTTATAGTGACATCCTTTGATATTGATATAATTGTTATGTTTATCTGGACTCCAAGTGTATGTCATACACAGCAGGTTTAGGACAGCAGTTTAGCAAGGAATACAGTTAAAAGAAAAGGTTCAAAAGTTAAAAGAAAGTAATCTATCTTACACTGTTTCTGCCTGGGTAAATTACCCAATTTAAACTGGCAGCTACAGAATTTTCAATAAGGAATATGAAGCTAAACATGAAGACAAAAAACCCCCAGTATGTATAAGGGACTGGACTATATATAATCCAGATGGCCCCTCCCTGTCCTTTGTTCCTATATGCATGTGTAAATGTGTCTAATTAGGTATGTATAATTAGGGAAAATTGTAAACTTTGGGCACAAAATTCATAGGCCAAGAGTGACCATTGGCACCCACTTTTCTTATATCAACTTGTGTGGGACTCTAAGAAAATAAGCTACTATTCAAAGAATAGCTGTGTATGGTAAGCAATGCTTCAGAAGTGGTGAGCGTATATTTAATTTACACTTGGAAAAAAGGGGAAATATGCAGAATGTGCCAGAAAAGAGAACCAGACAGATACTACAAATAATAATTCCTCTGTTCAGCTTTGTAACCCAGTGCAGGATTCAGGGGTAGGAGCCCAGCCGGAGGGGGGAATGAATAATAGCCTGCCTGCTCAGGGACATGGAACCAGCTGACAGGCATGATTTCCTGGCCCCAGAGGAAGTTAAAAGCTCCCAGGGCTTCTGGGAGAGAGAGAGGGAAGGCTTCTAGAAAGGCAGCACAGAGCTGGAGTTGCCCTCTCTGAGGTCCAAGGAAGGACCACAGGTTTTGAGTTAACTCTTTGTTGTTTGTATATTTGTTTGTTTTATTATTGATGGTGTTTCCTATAAGAACAAGTTTGCTCCAGGGAAAATAAAAGCTGAATGACAGTCCACTATAAGCTGTTTATGTGCAAGGTAGATTATACTCAGTGTTATGTTAACTGTGCCTTTTGTCAAATCATGTCTTCAATCAGCACAAACATATTGCTATTCTCCCCCCCACCACACACACACTTTTTGTGTCCTATTCCTCCCCCTGTCCTTTCCAATATTTCTTCAATTTCATTTCAGGCCCATTAACATCTTTACAAGACAACAGCCACATGCAGATATTTTATATGGGTTGATGGTATTTGCTTGCTTGTTTGTTGCTTACTTAAAGATATACTTTTAGAATCCAGGTCACTTTCACCAGCAAATAGCCATTCTGTATCTATTTCTTTTCAGCTGGGTTCACTTAAGTAAGAAGAAGGAAATTGTCGGTAACCATGACCACCTGAAAAAATCATGGTAAAAACTGGATTGACAGAACACAAGCAGTGGAAAATATTTCCATCAAGGTAGGGGGTAATAGCTAAGACTAGATACAAGCATGGTGTCAGGATTTTGATAAAATCAAATTGCAGGTGGAGCCATGGGTCTTTCCTATAGAAAACTGCCTGTAAATCTCCTCAAGTGTGGGAGTTTGACTACTGGTGTATTCCTTTGGATGGTAAAACTTATTGTTATACCTAATGGAACACCTAGGAAGAAATCTTGCAAGAAGTTATCCTGAGATTTGAGCTATAACCCACAGGCTTTAAAATATATGTACAATAATAGCACCTAAATAAGGCGTCTTACAATAATAGCAATAATAAATAAAGGCATCTTACAATAATAGCACCCAAATAAGGCATCAGTAATGGTTTTTAGAGGTGGGAGGAAAGAAGGCAAAACCAGCAAAAACACCAATGGTACTTACAGATGTTTGGGGAGGTTTTAGGAGATTACAATAAAAATGGCCACCCAATTTAATTTTGTTTGCCTGTATGTGGACCTTACATATAGATTCTTTGCTAGGTCAATCTAACAGAACTGTACAGAAGTTGCAGGGAGGTTAGATCAGTTAGATCGGATATGACTAGACTGATCTAACTGAACTTCTGTACAGATTCAGAGTGAAACTCTGGGGCTAGGAAAGTCCAACCACTAGCCCCAGCCCTGGGGCTGCACTGTTCCTCCCCCTCCCTCCAGGCACCAGGCTTTTTTAGTCCTCTCTTTTTGAGTCCCCTCTTTTATTTTCCCCCTACCTGAGACAGGCAATCTGCCCCAAAGGGCCAGCCATCCCTCCCCCACCAGAACCCACCAAACCCCCTGATCCCTCAAGCTGCTCCTGGTGCTAGTTTTACTGGCATTTGTCAATGCAAGGAGCAGATTGAAGTAAATTGGGAATGAGGAAGGGGTGGGTGGGATTGGAGGCCGTTGGTTTGTGGGTGGAAGGTTCTTCATCTGAAAGGGGTGTGGAGCTAAAAATAGCTTCTGGTTCTGTGAGGAGAGAGAGGTCCCTGACTCCCACCAATTCCCCCCAGGGGAGCCATTATCCCACACACAAACCTGCCAGTCCCTCCATCAGCTGTCTATTCCCCACTCCCTGATTTAGTTTAATCAGGCTCCCAGCACCGGTGAACACCAGTAAAAACATCCCTTGGAGTGGTTTATAAGATTCGGGGTGTTTTGGTGGCATGGGAGCTGGATGGTTCTTGGAGGTTTGGCAGGATTGGAAAGCTGTCTGATTCAACTAACCCTCCCATTCCTCTTAATCCCCTGGCCCTCTAAGCCTCCCTGGCAGAACCCACTAGGTCCCTGACTCCCTACAAGCCCTCTTGCTACCCCCCCCATCCTGCCTGCCCTTCTCCCTTCTGCAGTTTACCATAGGTCAGGCCATGGGCAACTGATGCCACCTTAGTCACCCCCGTGTATCCCGTATGTGTTACCACTGGCTCCTGGCACCTATCTAATTAGATGGGGGGGGGGGGGGGCATTTTTAACATGATCTAACCCTCCCCAAAACTTCTGGCAGGAATATCCATATGCAGCCCAAATGAGTTAATGCTAACATTCTCAAGGAAGTTAAAGAGAAAGGATTTATAATCATATCTAGAGAGAATGAGCTGAGTGAGATAAAGTGGCCTGATCAATAAGAGGAGTTAAATTAATAACAACTCAAAGAGTGAGACTGAGCTCTTAACAACTACCTTTAATAGGAAAAGGAAAAGAAGTCTGGGTAATTATGGAGTAATGAAATCCTTTAAAATAGCTATTGATAGAGAGTGGATAAGGGAATACTTAATTTTTTAAACTTATGCAAGTCATCTTGGCCCCAGTGATGTATAACTTAGAGTGCTAAGGGAGATAACTAATAAATTGCTTAGATGGATTTCGACTGAAGCCAATAACAGACCTCATTGATTTCTATGAGAGCATGGTTGGGTCCAGATTTATCAAATTCTGGAAGTTTATTTTTGGAAAGGTATGGGGAACTGGAGTGATTTGGAAAGACTGAATACAAAATAAGTATGATAGAATAATTCAAAAAAGAAAAGGAAAATTATGCTGGTTATTGCTGTCCTAAATCCTGATAATGATAAATGAGAAGAAATATTAAGAAAGGGGCAAAGCATTTAGGAAACAGAACCACAGACAAAATTACTGTAACATAGCAGTGGAAACCATAAACATTGCATCAAAGCAGATCCTTACTCCAGAAAGTTCCTATTCAGTTTTTGTCAGCTCTGCCTAATCATCATGAATGTTCCTTTATTTGGGTCTTTGGCCCTTTGTCTGGCACACTTCACCATTGCTGTTTCAAATAGGCCATTTTGAAGTAGTATAACCTGGCTACATTCCCTCCTTCTCCACTTGCTAAGTATCTTCTCTGCATTCCTACTACATACTGGTAATTCTTGGTAAAGGATTGCACAATACATATGTCCTGTCTTTTTTAATTAAAAATATATTTATAAAATGAAAAATGGGTGTGCTTAACTACAAAGAGCAAAAATGATGTCTTCCACATAAATAACTGGATATAGGCTCTTACAAAAGTATTACTTAAAAAACAAAAAGAATGTATAGTGATTCTAGCTTAAATGTAAATAGTATTAATAGATTGAAGGAAAAGTAATAACAGAGTAAAGGACCAAAAAGGAATTGTAGCACACCTAATCACCAAGTTTAGGTGAATTTATTCAGTAAGGGTCTACAAAGATTGCACAGAAAACGGACTTATTCAGTATCTCTAATTTGTGAATTAAAAATAATGTGTGTTTAAAAGTCCTACTAAATGTGTTTTCAGGGCAATATGGAAGACAAATAAGCATATGTAAGTTTAGATTATATACACAGATCAGGTTAAATAATATTTCTGGCCTCATCTAGATCAGGATTTAAAGATGAAGCATAAGCAATTGCCAGCTAAAACATGGTAACTGACATGGTTTAAAAATCTAGTTTAGACAAAGCCTTTCACACATACTAAATCACATGACTTGAAACTTAGGGAAACAGTTTTTAGCATGTATTAAAGTATGTATTACTTGCCTACAGTAGACTTTTTATGTGATTGGTAGCAGAGAGTAAATCTCCCAAATCCCCCCCCCCCCCCCCAACCCTGCACATATCCATGGGAAAGATTGTTGTGGAAGCAGACTAATTAGCACCCTGTTCTCTCTGATTTGTCTATGCACAGAATATCCAAAGTTAACTAGCCATTTCTGATTTCTCACAAACCAAGATTGCTTGTTCAAATGTTTTATATACAGTGAAATTGGTTAGGTTTTGGCCTTATCTCTCAAAATGCTCTTCAGATTGTAAAGATTTAGGAAATGTACTGAGTACCACATACCGTTGGTTACATCTGTGAATAATACAGGAGACAATTTTAACTGTAGATTCTAAGAAATGTGACAGAATAGCATAATTATGTCTTTACATCTACAATGATGTTCCATTGAAGTAAGAATATAGCTGTCCTTGCCATCAAGTCTCACATTTCTACAGAGTGGTATCAGAATGATAGAGTCTTAAAAGTC